CGCCCCCCCCCCCCCCGCCGGACAGAGTTTATTCCCCCCACCCCTTTTCCTCGCCCAGTGCTCTGCATCTGGAAAGAGATCAGTTCAAGAGTGGCCAGGTGGGACGCCTCTCTTTTGCCTTATTCAGCTTATTTATTATTATTTGGGGTGTTTTCTTTCTTCCTTTTTTTAATTCCTGTTTTGCTTAGTCCGGGGAGTTTCGTCCACCGCCTCCTACCTCCTCCCCCTGTGCCCGGCTCCGCCGCGCGGAGGATGGTGTGGAAATGGCTGGGCGCGCTGGTAGTGTTCCCTCTGCAAATGATCTATCTGGTGACCAAAGCAGCCGTGGGACTGGTGTTGCCCCCCAAGCTTCGGGACCTGTCCCGCGAGTCAGTCCTCATCACCGGCGGTGGGAGAGGCATCGGGCGCCACCTCGCTCGGGAGTTCGCAGAGCGTGGCGCCAGAAAGGTACGCGGCGTGGGGGCGGGGTGGCACTGCGACACCTGGAAGTGGGCGCCGAGGGTGAGGGGACTCTGGCGCGCGCTCTTGGGGAGGGGGGTGCTCCCACCTGCTGCGGCTGCGGCAACCAGCGCCAACAAGCTGAGAGTCTCCGGCCACCCACCCCTTGCATCACCTGGAACTGCTAAACTAGCCGGTTTCAACCTTTGTAAATTTCCCCGGCACCAGTCTTTTTTGGCAAGTCCTAAACTGATCGGTTTCCCTGAGATTGATATCTGACCGAATATGTGCCCCCACCCACTCCCAGACTTAGGAAACCCACCCATTCCTCCTCGTGACTTCATCTCTAAGGTGTTGTGCCCCCTACACTTCCCCGTTCTGCCCGCACCCCGTTGAGCGCGGGGTGTGCGCGCCCCTGGGTAGAGCTGGAAATCCTGACTGCTAGGTTGTGCCTGATATTTTGCTTGGCAGCTCGCTGCCTAGTCCAAACCTGGGCGGCTACAGCTCTGCAGTGACGTGAGAGGGGTACACGTTCGGGTTTGAAAAGGAGGGAGTTGACTTGGATGGTCTAGCCTGGCAGAAAGACTGGGAGGCCCCGGTGTTTCAAAGCCGGACAGAGGCGTGCGAGGGTAACCAGCGGCTGATAAGGACCCTTCAGAAACCTTGATCCTCTCGCCCTCCACAGCAGAGGGGAATCCTTCCTTCCCCGCTGGATTAAAAGGTGCCACTATGCCGCCACTGTCCACTGCCTCTCGCTATGTGGGTGACTGCCGCTCCCCTTGCTCCGGGGACGTGCAGGAGAGTATTGGAGGGAGAGCCAGCTGTCACCCAACTTGCAACTGCAGACCAGGCTGACCCATCTAGTGGCAAGAGCAATGAAGAGGGATTTGAGACCGGCAGACCCGGGCTGTCTCCAGCCGGCTGGCCAGAGAAGACGAAGAACAAACTAGGGAATTAGTTTGAAATTTAAACTGTTGCTAAGGAGGGGGTAGCAGGACTAGGCAAGCCAGCTGATCTGACGTGGAGCTGCATACCTTGGGGATTAGAGTAAATATGCTCTGTGGAAAGCCAAACCTTCTTGTAATTCCAGGTTGCTTTTGTTTTGTTAAATACTGCCGAGATTTACAATTCCTTCGGTGGCTGGGACTGAACTTTGGAGTCTGAACTATCAGCCCAAGCTGATTGTCCATTAACTCTTCCCTGGCTGGGTTGTCCTAGCACAGCTGGGGCGGGGGTCATCCAGCTGTCCAGGGCTCCTGAATCTCCTTGGGTGGTTTGGACAGCTGCTTAACCTTGCCTTTAGAAGGGGGTGGTTTTTTAACTCTTGGACTCACTGAATTAAGGGGAAGTAAAAGTTGTTCTCAGCAGTTTCTCTTGGGGAGTGGTGGGGGTGTCCCTGTGGAAGGCTTCCAAAGCCCTTGGTGGAGGGGGACCAGGAGGGCAGAAGGGTTACTTGGTGACAGTTGCTTATGCTCGACACTAGTTGGCTGTCTGTGTCCCTGTCTCATCTGACTATTCCAGCTGGCCCTGTCCTGCCGTCCCTTTCACTCTCTCTGTGCTTGGCTGCAGTAGGCTTAGGAGGAAAGCTTTGTCAATCTGGAAAAACTTGACCGACTGTAAACAATCCTGAAGTAAAGGCAGGAGAAGGCCCTGGCATGTGTGTGTGTGTGTGTGTGTGTGTGTATAACCATGCAGAGTAGATCCAGCAGGTTCATAGCCTGGAAGGCACAACCCCACCTACATGCTTGGGAAGAACAAGCTTACCCAGGCTGATGAGAAATGGGCCTTTAATTGGTGACAGGGTCACCCAAAACAAAATCCAGGGGGGGCCTGGGAAACTGCCTGCTGGTGCCATTCACTTGGCTGGCAGGATAACCCCCTCCCCCCAGGGCTCTCTGGAATCGTAACTCTCTGAAGTTAGAGGAGCCACTGCACTCAGTAAGCCTGTCTCCAGCTATCCCCGTGGGAATGTGCCCTCCAGCCCCTCTTGTCTCCGTACATCTGGGGTCAGCGCATGGACCTGGGGACAATCCCCGGAGCCAGGAGTACTTAAATCCCAGTGGGCTTGGCAGCCAAAGAGCTGTGTGCTGTGGGGGGTTGGGAGTTTGCAGTTGAGTTGGTTGGGGACAGGTGTGAACTGGGGGTGGCCCGGGAGTATGGGAGGGAGGTAGAGAAGGCCAATGGTGTGCAGTGAGGTAGTCGCCACCAGCAGCGTTGGTTAAGGGAGAGGCTGGCACTGGGAGCGCTCCCTGCCTGAATAACTGGAGAGATTGAATGTAGGAGAGATTCCCCCAGTGGGAAAGAAAGGCAGGCGGCTTCTGCAGACAGCAAGCCTGTCCAGGAGGGGGCGGGACAACCCAGTTTCCCATAATGACCTTGAGTTAAGTAGGATTTGCAATATTTGTGGACCGTGGGGAGCCTACCAAGCTGACCCAAATAAAGGGTTTTCTTTTAAAAAAAGATTTACTTTGTTTACATGTGTGTGTGTGTGCCCGTACACATGTGCACACGCGCACACCCGTGTGCGCACACATGCATGCATGTGTGTGTGGAAGCCAGGGGATGTCTGATCCCCTAGTGATGGAATTACAGCTTGATGTGGGTGCTCAGAACTGAACTCTGGTGCTCTGCAAGAGCACCAAATGCTCCAAACCACTGAGCATCCCTCCAGTCCCTCAGAGTTTGTCTTAAAAGAACACAGATGTCAAAAATTCAGAAGGTTTTTTTTTTTATCAGGAAACAGCTCTCCCCTCCTACAAGACACCAAGTTGAGGAGAGACAGAAACAGCGACCCTTAGGGATTTGGGGTGTGGGGGGGGGAAGCCCCTTGTTGGGTCATCTCCTGAGCAAACCTTTTTTAAATTTTCTGTGTCTCTGTAATTGCTCCCCACAAAGTAGTGAAAACTCAGGCTTGTCCTCAAGTCTGCAAGTTTGTCACGGTTTTAACGTGGCCTCTTGATGGAAGCAGGAGAAGATTTATGAGGGGACTGTGTGGAAGTATTTGGGCACCCCATAACCTTTGGTCCAGTTAGAGGCAAGCATCCATGACTGAAGACTTACAGAAGCAGGGGCCCTGGGTCCAGCATCCCCACTGAGGACCCAATGTCCCATTTCAGGAAGGCACTGTAAGAGGTAGCTTGGGGTTGCATTTGCCTCAGTATCCATGATTTACAGGGCATGTGACGTGAAGCAGCCAGCCAGGGCCTGGCCCTCGGGTCCATTTGTAAGTCCCATTCTGCTCCCGTACCCCCCTTCTTTGTGTACCATCCCTTCCCACTCCCAGTGGCTAAACTGGCCCAAGCTCACCATTCCCTTGGCTAAAGGCCAGTTCAAAGCTTGCTAACAGCATCCGGCAGCTCTGGGCTGGTAGCAGGGCTGGAGGCTAGGTAGAGATACAGTAAAGATCCCAGAAGACTTGACATCACAGCAAGATGTTACAGCAAGGGCACGCGTTAGTGGTGGTGGCATCTTCAGTGGCGTTTGTCGTGACTTAACCACACACCAGGTAGTTTAATGGCAAGTGACTCGTGGAGCTTGTCGCCTGCCCGCCAACTGTCTCAGCCTCTCTTGCTGGCCATCAGATCTCTCTGAGTGAAGAAAGGTTGGGAAGGTACCCTGCGCCTCCACTTAGAGGACACTGCGTACCCCACTTCCAAACTCCTTCACGAGCCCCCAGCTTGCTGCTGCTGACTGTCCACTCTGAGAAAGCAAGCTCTGCCGTACTTACGAGAAGGTGCCCTTCTACCTAGGGGAGGGGTCTGGTCCTCACAATCCCTAGAAGTCATCCCTAAAGCCATGTTGTCACCAGCAGAGTCGTGCAGTTAATGGTTCTCCCTTACAACTGGGGATTTCCAGACTAGGGAGATGTCACAGCAATTAATTAAGAACACTGATCTATTCCTCTCCCAGAGAACCTGGGTTCAATTCCCAGCATCTACATGACAGCTCCCAGCAGTCTGTAATTCCAGTTTCTGGGATCTGATGCCCTCTTCTGGCCTCTGAGGGCACTGCTACTTGTGGTACATATATACATATAGACAAAACATCCACACACGTAAACAAAAATCTCAAAATGGGGGGGAGGGGTGCTGACACGTATCACAGGAGAAGAAAGCCCCCCCCCCAGCATGCCCTCACCAAGACCTTGGGCAGTTATGGCTTGCCATTGTCCTCGTTTCTCAGGGTACTGTAGGGAAGTATAACCAGGTGTATTCCCACCCTTCATTCTCAACTTTAATTTTAATATACCATGAGTCTCTGGAAATACATGCCGGACATCCGCTTTGGCTCCTGGCTTCTGATGGGACTGGGATCTGCCAGCCTGGCTATGATCACTTGTGTGATTGGCGACACGAATGGCTGAAGTTTTACACGTGATCGTGGTCATAAGCATGATCGTCACTGTACACAATAGTCATCGCACACAGGACTGTAACACTATTGTATGTGGCTGTGGCAACATCTATAACATCGTAACATTCATGACCACAGGGCGTTTTCATATCATTCCTTTGAGTGGTCTTGCTGGCCCTTGGGGGACCCGTAGCTTGTGTACAAAATAAAGGTGCAGTTGGGATCAGAGCCTTTTACTAGAAGCCAGCTTTGAACCCCTGGTTCCCAGTTTCACAACCAGAGTTTCTCCTTCTGGGCTGGCTAATCTCAGCCCCACCCAACTGTCTCCCTCGGGGTCACAGAGAGGTCAGGCAAGAACTGTTAAATCTTGGGGCCTGGTCTACAGAGGGTTCTGGATGGGGAGTGTGGTGAGCAGGAGTCAACAGGATGCAGGCAGGATGTGGATAAACCCACTTATTCAAAGAACCTTGTCGGGGTGCATTTAAATACAATGGGTGGGATGCTTGCCAAAGGGTCAGGCTGGCAGCCATCAGGGTTAATTTTAAAGCCAGGCTTGGCAACCCAAGCTTATTATTCCAAGTCTTGAGAGCTAAGGCAGGCAGATCAGGAGCTCAAGGCCAGCCTCTGCTTCCTAGCAGAGTTCTTTATTATCTTGT